CTGCAGACTGACAACTCTATTTATGTGCGCAACTGGAAGCAACTGAGAAGAGAGAGAGGCGTGAAACGCTGTTTTCATACATTTTCTAAAGCAGTCCTGAAACTCTGCGTGATGAGGAAAGAGGATTGCTCAACATAAACACTGTGTCACAGTCACAGTATTTGCATTACAAAGCAATCTATTAACACTCTACACGATGAATTTGTGATGTCAAATTCTTTGAAAAACAATTGTCTAGAAGCAAAAGAACCTGAATAATGTGTAAGTCAGTTTTTATAATGATAATATCAACACATGTGATCTCAAAGTTAACAAAGAGGATCAAATTTCCAACCAGTGTTTGCTATATTCAATAGATAATACATGTAAAGCTAATAGAGAATATAAGTACTTTTTTTTATTTTTTAATTTTTTTTACAATTTACTATTACTAGCACTATTCTTTTAAGTCAGAAAAGTTTCAGCAACGATCAGCAGGTGGTTGTTCAGATATGCAGACCTACCAGATCAAACGGTAAATATTTTAGGGCTGAGTACCACACAGCAGAGAGGACTCTTAGCTCCATGAACCTGTCCAAAGGTATTATGTTACCCTTCTACTGTAACTTGTGATGAGACCGGACGCATCAGAAAATGCCTAATGCATGACCCGGGATCCTCCCGGCCTACCTGTCCTCAGGCAGGACACGGTGAGGGCGGGGCCCTCTGAACCAACTAGACACGAGAGACTTTCCAGGGAACGGTGAGGCTGCAGGGGGCCACCGGAGTGCTGAGATCACGCTTTTACAAAGGGACTGGAGCACTCCGCTTGATGTCCTGAGGTGATTAGGGTGCCGGTTTGTGTAAAGGTCACAGCTACAGTAGAAATCTGAAAGCCCTCCGAGAAGCTCTGTTGAGGTTGTGAGATTTTCCTTTTGTCCTCCATCCTTTCTTTCACTGAAAAAAACCAACAAACCCACCGGTCTTTCCACTGATTGCATTAGAATTCTGGATGCTGAAAAGCACAGTTGTGACGGACAGCAAAATTCGACAATCATTCTTTATGTGCAGCCCACAGTCAAAACCACAAACGTATTAATCCTCAAAAGAGAAGGAGTCATGGCATCCCTACTTTTGTTGGAAGGTACAGACTTGTCCCTATATTTAGTATTCATTACTGGACTGGTTCTGTGTTGTATCACAGACCTCAGAGAATGGAGGGTAAATATTAGTACTGGCAAAAGTTATGGATCCAAGTGCTTTGCTGTTTAAATAAGCTACTGTAGGTGTGGAAACAGAAGAAGAGATTCACTTCCTAACCTTTCACTACTTCATTTACTCCTGGATGACTGATCATTTAGAGATTTCTTGCAGCATTTAAATGAATTTGTGACGCTGCCTGGGGGTCTGGAGGCGTGTTGGAGGATACCTTTGAGTGCGGGGCATGAATCCTCGAAAACACACACGGAAGCATCCTGTAAAAAGCAATCTGATTTGTGGCTGGGAGGCTGCGTTCAGCGCCTCCCTCCGCTACGTCGGTTAGATAATACAGCGGTGCTGAGAGTTATATTGGAGTTGACACCTCATCAGATCTATAAATAGCTTTGCACTTCTCTCCCAGGGGCCCAGCTGTAGCTCTCTCCCGGGCATTTGATCTCTTGTTTGTAGGGAGCTGACATCACCCGCTGCTGCCTCGGATCTCTGACTTTTTGACTTCCCGGATACAAAAAAAAACACGTGCAGAAAAACCCAACCTGACTCACAAAGGCGGACGCACATCTCGTTACAGCAGAGAAGACTTTAATCAGCTGCTACTGTGATGCTTTCGGGAGGCAGCCACTTCACCCGTACTTTGCTTCAGGCTTTCCCGAGACCATGTTTAATGATGATGCACCTCCTCGCTTTACACGCTCGGCTGTGATTGCCGCGAACAAGGCAGCGGGCCCGGAGTAAAGTGAATTCTCTGATACCCTATCACTCCTAAATAAATAAACCGGTTCGCTTAATTGGAGGGGAACGGGGATTCGGGTGAAAGCCTAAAAGCAAGTGGGAGGATGAAGCAGATGAAAAACGAAAAAAAAAAAAAAAAAGATACACAAAAAGCCCGCAGGCTGTGTCTGACCCCGGTGAGTCACCGTCTACACAAGCTTCTCCGGAGTTGAACATGACTCAGTAACAAGCACTAATATTTCTGAAGAGCACTCCTGTTCCTGGTTACGCAATGTTATTTCAACCTGGTTCAGGTGGCATTTTAATGTGCCGTGTTCAAAAACAAAACTTCTGCATCCATCATTCTTTAAGATTAAACTGATATTACATAATATCGTTTACAAAACATCAGAGTATCAACAAACACACTAATGAATAAATATAGCCACAAATAATTGTGCGGGTGATTTTACTGGAGAATATCTTCCTTTATTAAAGCTCCCCTGGGAAATAAATGACAGATAAACTGAATATGGATGTTCAAATGAACCACTTTGAAGGGGTTTAAAATAGGAATTAGTGACTCCGCTTTGAACCAACATAAAAAGTCTATCAATTGATAATTAACATCAAGTTCATGACCGATGCTGTTCACGGTAATAAGCCGCCTCATTTACAGGCCGGCCTGAATTTCTATACCTCATCAAGTATTAAAAAACACGCAGTTGAGGTAAGCCGTACAGTTAGCTTTTCCTTTTGAGACTGTATTTTCTACAGAGAATGCATTAGGAGAATACATTAAAACTATAGCATCAACATAGCATTACAGTGGGTGGGTTCTACCCTTACACTAACTATCCGTCTGTTTAGCAAAAAAGAGTCTCTGTAACACCACTTCACCGCAATGATGCATCACACAAGACTGAGACTTTCCTGTTTTTGTCAACAAAAGGGAGCTTAGTGCTCCAGCACTGACACACTGCCCCCCAAAAAATCCAGTTTGCTCAGCAGATTATTTCTGCTTTTGAGTCTAAAACCTCCATAAATACAATAATCTTTAGGATAAGGCCTTTATCAGCCCTCTGCACTCGTGGAGTCAGCCTGTGAGAGTGGGTGGAGTCTGTTTCTCAAGAACTATTTTTTCATGCAGATAAAGCACATGATATGGTACCTTTGGCACTTCCTGACAGAAGACAATTTCCACTTCAGAAACACAACATTGCAACACAACATTTCCTGATAACACAAAGAGAAATTCAATGAATGTCAGGCTATAGATTGAAATATACCCTTTTTCTTTGTATTTATAAAGCAAACAATCACTTCTGTTTACATAATTTTCCTGCTGATCATTTGCACTCCATATCAAAATCAAGGCTCAAATGTGTGCAGCTGACTTTAGTATAGAATTAGAAGATACTTTTCTTTAAAGGAAAATGTGACGCTGGAAAATAAATAGATAAAAGAAAGGTGGTGCAAATGACCATAAGATGATTCTTTATGCGTGTATAAAAGTTTAAAGTTTAGCAGATCAGCTCAAATCATGATGAATACAAACTCAAGGTTCCATGTTAGGTAAACAACATTTTCAGGTTTTTCAATCCTTTGTGCTGTCAAAACAATGTGAAAAGATTTACAAGATGTGGATCCATGTGTTGGTTATCAAACAAATGCCCAGTTCTTCCAATCTCTCTCACTCAATAAACAATGATGCAGAAAGTTCTTACACCATCTCTAATGGTTGGATTGTACCCCAAGAAAGGCTTATGAAGCATTTGTGTCAAAATCTTGCTATACTGGCTGTTTGGAAAGGGAACTTTTTATTTTTTGTGTGTATTTTTTCCTCTCATATAATGGCTAAAAGTTGCATTATTCTATGGGTTCCCAGCATTTCTTAACAGATGGACACACCCACATTTCACTGAAACACTGGACAATAAGTGTGAAAGACTGATGTGGTTATTATTTTCAACAACTCCTTTTATAGTTCACCCTTTTTTTTGTCTTGTGAAGATTAATCATTGATTCGTGCATTTACTTAGCAACCAAAGAAACCTTCAGTCCTCAATTGTTCAGAGGATCATTTTAAAAAATCCAAACTTTTGTGTACAAATCCAACAGACCAGCCATTCAAAAACAAATTGTGATATGAAGTCATACCTAAACAAAGGCATTCCAAATGTCAGTCCTGTTGTATATTTTGCATACCAGACACTGATTATCATACCCTGACTATGCAACGGGATGAATAATTCATCTCAGAAAACGGGGTTTGCCTCGTGCCTCACCTGTGTGTGCGCACCTGGTGCCATTTAGTCAGCCAGACGCCTCTCCAATTATCGAGGAGCACATTCCGGGGTCTCTCTTGCGTTTGCCTCCATCTTCACCCTGGTTTTAATCAAGCATCAGATTCACACATATAAACCCTCATTTGAATAACTAATCCAGGGTAATAGAGTTTGTGCAAGAACAAAAAAAAACCCCACAAGGCATGAAAAGAATCAAATTACCATGAAAAGAACCAACATTTGGGAGACATGTTTATGTTTTTTTGTTGTGTGTGTGTGTGTTTTGACTGAAAAAACGCTGGTTACTTTTCGCGCAACGTTCCTCTGCGCGTTATCTGGGTTATTCACTTGAATGGACTTGCTTCTCTCCACCCTGATCCTCCTCAGTGCCTCAGCAGATCTCCATCTGCCTGACAGAGTGGGCAGCCTGCTCCGCGTTAAACGCCCAGAGCTGCTGAGGGACGAGCCCCCCTTGTGCGCTTTTCTTTTTGCTTCCCTCTTCCACTGCTCGTCCGGTGTTCCGGTGGTTTGGGCGTCGGTGGGAATTAATTGGCAAGTTTGACGGGTTTGAGGTTTGAGATGGAGAAGGCGGCTCCCCGTTTCAGCACGCTGGATAGCGCACGGGGGAAGTTGGAGAGGTTGGAGACGCGCGGGGACGCACAGGGACTGAACTGAACTCAGCTCGGAGAAACCTGCCGGGGACCGGGAGCCAGAATCGATCATGGTTGAATTTAAGAGCTCATTATCCCCCTGCAGGTACAGGTAACCCCCCCCCCCCCCCGAGAGGATTTTCTGGCATGAGACATGGACTTTGCTGAAATCATTTTCGCTCTGTACATCGTCGTGGTCGCGGTCGTCTCTCTGTTGTCCAACTTGTTGGTGCTGCTATGTTTCGTCCACAGCACCGAGATCCGCCGGCAGGTGCCCGGTGTTTTCACCATGAACTTGTCCTTCTGCAACATCCTCATCACCGTTTTGAACATGCCGGCCACTCTGGTGGGGATTGTCCGGCACCAGCAGCCTTTCGGGGACTGCGTTTGCCACACGGTGAGCTTTCTGGACACTTTCCTGACCGCCAACACCATGCTGAGCATGGCCGCGCTCAGCATCGACCGGTGGATCGCGGTGGTCTTCCCGCTCAGCTACGCCACCAAGATGCGCTACAAGGACGCGCTGATCATGGTGTGCTACTCCTGGCTGCACTCCTTCACCTTCTCCCTGACGGCGCTCCTTTTCTCCTGGGTCGACTACAGCGACGTGTACGCGTCGTGCACGCTGCAGTCGACCGAGGGGGGCAGCGACAGGATTAAGTTCACGGTCTTCACCGTCGTTTTCCACGCCACCAGCTTCATGCTCTCCCTGCTCATCCTGTGTTTCACCTACTTGAAAGTGTTGAAAGTGGCCCGGTTTCACTGCAAGAGGATTGACATAATCACCATGCAGACTCTCTTCCTGCTGGTCGATATTCACCCCAGGTATAGCTCATTTCATGCATTCTCTGCGTGTGTGTGTGAATGTTGACAACAGGCCATGTATCAGCATATTTTTTACACGCGCCTTTTTGTATAAGTGCTGAGCCAAAATGCTTTTGTTGTTCGCAGCGTGAAGCAGAGATGTTTAGTGGAGCAGAAGAGGAGAAAGCAGCGAGCCACAAAGAAGATCAGCATCTTCATCGGCTCTTTTATCATCTGCTTTGCTCCTTATGTGATTACAAGGTAAGTCAACCTGCCAGTGAGTCATAAATAATTTGACGTGGGGCTAAACTCCTGTGCAGCATCTTGAAAAATAAATGATCCCACTTATGTAATACAACTCCCAACAATTGCCCCTTTCTGCTGGTATACATGAGCGGAAGCCCCAATCAGACTCAGTAGCTTTGTCATCCTCCCGTAAAGAGCAAGGCAGCTCCCACATGGCACATCTGCCACAACGTGAGATGAAACCCTGGAGAAACATCCCACCGTGGTCCATTTCTGGCTCAAACCTCACAATTCGCGCACCCTGAGCCTGAGGATTAGTCACCTGCACCGTTCAGGATGCAAACCGCTCTAACAAACGTCACCAAAGTGGTCGAGAGTCCCACAAATCTCCCGTCAACC